GCCTTTCTGGACACACTATTCATAGCATAGGTGCACTGCAAGTATGTCTGCTGTCGTCATTCTAGCGTCTTCGCATAGATGTACTTAATACCATTTTGCGGCTTGTCAGACGTACTGTCAAGTTCCTGTATGTTAGAGCCATTTCATTAAACTGTGATGTGCGTCTGCAAGCTCTGCTTTCTCATGCCCAATCCTAACATACTTGGTGGGAAGGCTCGCATGCATGAGGTCGTTCCCCAGCGATAAGTTTCCGAAATCAGTAAAAGCAGACCGATTGCACCTTAGCGATTGTTTTCACCTCCTTCGAACATTGCATGCGTATGCTAAACTCCATGATATCCGCGGGAGAACACGGTTAGAGGCTGGTGCTGGTGCGTGCTGAATTGAATATGAGATCCACAAGCAGGAAGGAGTCGCCAGGTGTCCAGAACTTCATATAGTCGCAAGTATTGAGAAAATGTACATTTACACTCAACTCCGTGCTCGATCCGATCTAAAGCAAGAACGCGCACTACTACATGCAGCAAACGACAGTAGAGTACGCTGGTCGATAGATTTAATCATGCACACCGTTACACGGACGCAAGACTCTCTAAACCGTATGCCTGCATGCCTTCCTCAAGTGTCACAGCCAGGCGAACCCGACTGGCGTTAGCTACCCATTCCACCGCATCTATACCTTGCGTCGGCGAATTGCAGGTTGTGTGGACTGAGAAATCGCCTTCGTCGCCGATACTTCCTTGAGCATATCCTTCTCATTTGTCTTGGCCGGCTGGAACCTCTTGCGCACTGCACGGATCATCATAATGAACCAGTAGAAATTGAGACTGTTCAGAGTAATGTTGCTCATGAGATATGTGAAAGCCAGCCAAGCAGGTACCGTTGATGTAGGTGTCGCAAACCTCATGACAGTCGAAGTGACGACCTCGCCAGTGTCGGCACTGACAGGTAAGACAGGGTTGGTATCGATGGCCGCGAAGATGTCCGAGAAAACCCTCACCGATTGATAAGTCCCATACACCAGGCGTGTGGAAAAGAAGGTAAAGAGCAGCATCAATCCGTTGTATAACTGGGCACGAGAGCCAGTCATTCCCAGCTTGTCAAAAAACCAGTGGATATTGAGAAAAGGCGTGGATAGCTCCCAGAGAATGAAGACGCAGCCATAATAGTTGATGAAAGGTCGCTGAATGTAACGGTTAGACGAGCGTGGAAACAGCTGGAGACCGTGATCGACTTACAAAGCCAAGAGCGTAGACGAAGAGGGCACTAACAGCATGGGCCAGAGTGCCAATGCCAAAAACGTCCATGTTGCAGCTCGTAACGACCAGATCCCACAGGAAGTATCCAGCGGCGAGAGCCTGGATCATGCCAGCTGCACCAGTGTAGCCCCAGATGCGCTCCTGCCAGTCCATCCCCTTGCGGTCTTCGTCGGCAAACATCACCCAAAGCGCTAATCCATTGATGAGGGTACTCTGTACGAATGAGACGACGTGAGCATCCCAGTTCACTCTTCTCTTCCTGGGCAGATCCAGGTATTTGCGGCCGACGATGAGGCGCGAAACCAAGGGTGATATCGGGTAGTAGATGACCGAGTAAAGCAAGCTAGCGGCGAGCACCTCATGGACGTGGAGCGGCAATGATGGAAGAGACAGAAGATCGGCCCAGGGCTGTGTTGCTTTGACGAGCCATGGTATGGGCTCGAGGAAAAAGGGGTCTCTCATGCTCCTGCTGGAGGCGTCGTCAACGTTTGTAGGGGCGAATGTCGGTTTGTCTGGGGCGGGAAGAGTCCGAAAGACGTGCGGCGATGTAGAGAGGGGCGAATATTTCGTGCTCGGAAGAGATACCAGCAGCTTTTCAAGGAACGTCGAGTGTTCGGGCTGGCCGCCTTCGGTCGGTGAGTTGATCGACGAGTTTGTCAGGTGTGCAGGGAAGACGAGGCTGAAAGACAGAGGTTGATCTGAGGTCCTGTGAGCTACGGTAGTGCGTAGAAGTTGATGCTACTAAAGAAAGATGCGGTATGGTGGGGAGCTGGAGGATTTGGCGGATTGTTGGGGGAGCTAAGCTGGATGAGGGAGGACCCTTGGAGAGAGCAAAAAGAAAAGATGCTAGCACACGGTGTTTCTCTGGAAAAGGCGGATCACCCTTGAGCAGATAGAGCGCTACGTTGGAATGATGCAGGTGCTGAGCCCTTGTTAAAGTATCTGCTTATCTTGTACGCTGGACGGTTTACTCTTCAATAGTTAGTGCAAATCCTTGCGGGAAGTACTTCACAACCTCTGTGCTTCTCGAACTATGGGAGACGTGCACCAGGAGGCGCATTTTTCAGGCGCCTCAAACTTGATTTGCTAAGGTACAGCCCCCCCCAAGGTACTTAGTGACATGTTGCAGGTTCATGTACTACTCGGCCCGTGAGATCTGATCATCCATCAGCAGCGACATCAGCTGGCCTGGCGCGAAGAAAGCGTCTCTAGAGCCTGAGCTAGGTACTTCATGAGTGCGGTGATCAGAAGAACGACCACGTGAGTTGTTATCAACCCCGTGGTGCTATCACACAGCTATCCTAGCACATAGTGCAGGTCGGCGGGTAACACTCCCGTTCTCCATCCCACCACGCTGGTATGCGTGCAGCCGACAGATGCATTTGGTGTTGCACCGAAGTGGGTACTTACAAACGCTGTATGTGTGTCAAACTCGTTACTTTGATATTCTGAGTATATGCGTATCTGTAGGCACTAATTGCATATGACGGGTCCTGAGTAGGCTTCTGATGATTAGTTGCTGACTTAAGGCTGCTACAATATCAGCATGCTTTGCCTACCTGAGGTATCACCCACCAAGCACCTCTCCACAGGTATCCCACGCCTCAGTACTACATCGCTGTCGTCGACATCACGTTATTCACCCCTTACCCTCACCACATCCTGTGCAATCTTACGGGCTTGCATCATCTCGATGGAAACAGCCACATCTTATCATCGTTGACGGTTCGACCATGGCCGATCTTCTCCTCGATCTGCTCGATCTGCGGCAGACCCAAGGGACTGATCCAAACCCAACCCCAAGGACGACTAAACTTGAATATTTGACACATCTCGCTGAACAGAGTCCGGCAGCGTTGGTTTCCCCAGAGCCTCAATCACTCGCTCAGTCATCTCAGTCGCTTCTTCTTTCTCTCCAAGGAGTCTCCAAACGTTCTCACAGATCTGTCATCGATTCGGCCTCGCACCACGCCGGTCTAGCCCGCGCTCTGCCTACTCTTGTCGCTGACACGGCTGACCTACGCAATGCAATCCCTAAGCTCGACTCAGAGGCTTTGCGCTTCTCAGCCACCTACAGCAAGTCCAGTGATAATGAACATTTGGTCGAGAGAAAGCGCGCCCTGCTGTTGCTCCGCAATGAGGAGCGACTGGTCGATGTTCTGGAACTTCCCACCCTGCTGTCTTCGGCCATCAGCACGGTCCCAGCCAATTACGCGTCCGCTCTGGACTTAAACGCTCATATTCGAAGACTTCACGCCTTGTATCCAGACTCCCCCTTGGTGGATCTGGTTTCTGAACAAGCCGATGAAGCCATAGTCAAGATGACGGCCGACCTGATCACGGCCCTCAAATCCCCCGGGCTCAAGCTAGCTGCCTCTTTGCGGACAGTCAGCTGGTTGAGAAGAGTTCTCCCAGACATTTCTCCCATGAGTTCCGCCAGTCGTGATTCTCAGGAGAACGCACTTTCATTGCTATTTCTCTCTTGCCGTGTGGCTACCTTAGACGCCACCCTTGGTGCTTTGCAACCCCTGCGGGAGCTCGCCGACGAAGAGAGGCATAGACAGCAAGGCTCCAGTTTACAGTCCTGGTCTGGGGGCCAGCAGACGGAGAAGTATCTCAAGCGCTACGTCGAGATTTTTCGCGAGCAAAGCTTCGGCGTCGTTTCCATGTTCAAGAGCATCTTCCCAAACGCCACGAGTCTGCCGGACGGGCCAGATAACGACTCAGAAGATCCATTTCAACCCCTGCCACCGATGCTGGCAACTTTTCCTTCGCATCTTGTCGAGATGCTTCTGGAGACTTTGGCAGCATATCTTCCAGTCATCAAAGACCAAGCTGCTCGAGACAGCATCCTGACCCAGGTCTTGTACTGCTCAGGCAGCTTAGGCAGGCTTGGGGGTGACTTCGGCATGTTACTTGCTAGATTTGGGGAAAACAACCAAGGAGTCACCAAACAGTCCGAGTGGATCGACATTGTCAAGCGCCACCGTTTGCTATCAGGCCGTCTCGAGTCTGTCATTGGAGACTACAAGGGGCAAGGGTCAAAGGAGTTGTAAGGAGCCAAGCAGGCGGGTTAGCCTTGTTCTCCAGTCACTCTCCACCCATGTTGGGGATTTGAGAGGCGACGCACTGAGGGTCGGATAGCGCAGGATAAGATGGACGCCATGCCGGACATGCCGGGGAGAGACAACATTTCATGATGGACTTCATGGAGCTCACGCTATATGCCTTGAGGAAAACATCAGTAAATGTCGTGCATTATCATACTAGGTATTCAGGCGGGTTTATAGAGAAGATGTTTGAACTACGGTACCCTGCATTCGGAGCATTCGGAGGTGTGATTTCACCCTGGAGATGGCAGGGGGGGAAAAAAGAAAGAACCGACCTAGATGCATAATATGAGGATATCCGATAAAGGTGTTTACTCCAATATGCCGGGGAAAGTCATCACAAATGGCGCCCCGCCTTGAATCGATTGGCACCTGAATAGGCTAGTGAGCATTTACTTTGTCTAGTAGTCGGCTATATAAATAAAAGTCCTTGGTTTCGCACCTGCGATACTATACGAGGTATCCTCCTGCCAGTCAAACCCATGGTCCAACACCCTTCTCCCGACAATATGGCTATAAATTGCAGTGGAAATTCCCAATAAACTCCCATCGCTGGTGACAACGCGCATGCAGGCGTAACTAACGACTTCAGTGGTAGCTTCTCCACCAAGCGCGATCTGTTCAGACTCTCATGTCTCAACAAACCATTCCACGCCGGTCAAAATCTTGTGAGTCTTGCTCCTATTTGTCCACCGGGCTTTCGTCCTCAACTCCAGTGCTGACCCTGAGCGCAGCTCGGCACTTCTTCGCCGGATTAGGCTCAGGAGTCGCCTCGGCCGTCCTTCTTCAACCTCTGGACTTGCTCAAGACACGAGTGCAGCAGTCCGGCCATCGATCCCTAACTTCCTATCTTAAGGAAGTGGCCGCTTCGCCCAACAAATTTCAAACCCTCTGGCGTGGTACTGTTCCCTCAGCACTGAGGACGGGTCTGGGGTCAGCCCTCTATTTCACTTCACTCAACTCGTTCCGCCAATATGTTTCCCAATCGCGTCTCCTTGGCCTCGACCAAGCTACAAGCCGAGTTTCTCACTCCTCGTCCTTACCGACTCTTGCGCCATCGGCCAACCTCATTTCTGGCGCCGTCGCTAGAACCTTTGCCGGCTTCGTTTTAATGCCTTTGACCGTCATTAAGGTTCGGTATGAGTCCAATCTGTACTCGTACCGATCCATCCTCGGGGCTTCGACCGATATTTACAGAAATACGGGCTTCCGGGGATTCTTCGCCGGCTTCGGCGCTACTGCTGTACGCGATGCCCCCTACGCGGGCATGTACGTATTGTTTTACGAGTTATTGAAAAAGCGACTGAGCGATATTTCATCCCAGAGTCAGCCGACACGGAGCTATATAACAACCTCTCACGCAACGTTTGTCAACTTCAGCTCCGCCATAATGGCCGGTGCTGCTTGTTCCGTCATTTCCAATCCCTTCGATGCCGTTAAGACAAGGATACAACTCCAGCCATCCATTTACCGAAACATGTACCAGGCTTGCCGCAAGATGCTTGCGGAAGAGGGCGCTCGTTCCCTTCTAGACGGGGTCACACTCCGAATGAGCAGGAAGGCAATGAGCTCGGCTTTGGCCTGGACGGTTTATGAAGAATTGATTAGAAGAGCTGAGCGCACCTGGACCTCCGACTTGACGACAAGAATAGAGCCCTAGCTTTGCGCGCACAAGATGCGCTTGAAATCTCACCTCAATCAACGAAAACACAAACACCTTGGACGTCATTGTTTGATACTATATACCATGATCAACGCGCCGGTAAATCGATCTCCTCGCCATTGACCTCCAAACATCACGCCGGCTTAGCTCCTGCGAGGTACATGAGCAGCGCTGGGGACTTGCTCCTCTTACGGTCATTCTTCTTTCTGACCCACTCAAATTCCGGCTCATGCCGATGAGACTTCTTGTCTTCAATCTCCAGCACTAGCTTGGATGACCGCTTCTCACGGAGCGCTCTAGTGTGCCTCCAAAGGGTATCTTGCTCCCACTCGGGTACCCAGCGCTTTATGAGTACGTAATCAGGGTCCTGTGAGATGTGAGCGGACGCATTTCGAAAGAATAATGAGACCTTTAAGTCACTCACAGTATCCAACTCCCACTCCACACGATATGTCCTCAGTGTCTCGATGGACAAATGCTTTCGGGCCATGCGTGTGTATGTCGGGCGTTGAGCAGCCACAAGGGCATGATCGACTGGGGCGGGCTTAGGCTTTGGCGGTTCTGGGATCTTCTCCTTCTTCAGAATCGCTGCAATCGCCCTTTCGTCCAAGCCCGACTTGATCAAATCTTCTTGGAGACGTCTCCTGTATTCTCTCTCTCGGTCCTCTCTCTCCTTCTTCTCCGTAGCCTGACGGTCGAGCTCCTTCTGGCGCTCTTCCTGGAGTCGTCTCTGAAATTCCTTTTCTCGTTCTTCCTTCTCTTTCGTTTCCTTTTCGATGCGGTCTTGCTCCTTCTTCTTGTACCGCTCCACTGCGTCGGAGGCTTCCTTGTCCCGCTTCTTGGCTTCTTCCGCTAGTCGCATCTCCTCTTCGTACTTTTGCAGTTCAATTTGAGTCTTGAAGCGCTTCTCCTCCGAAGCACGAGCCTCTCTGCCACGAATGTCATCTAGGTCACGCTTGGCACGCTGCAACTCAGCCTCTTCTCGGTACTTTTGCTGGATACGCCGTTCTTCCTTTTCTCGGTCCTGGCTGAGCCTAAGCTCTTGCAGTTCCTGACGAGCGCGTTCGGCCTCGTACTCCTCGCGAGTCATGTAGGAGGATGATGGTGACCGAGAGTGGGAGTGAGAGGGAGCCCGAGAGTGGGAGCGGTGACGGTGGTATGTCTGAGGGCGGTGGTCATCGTCTTCGTCCGACGAATGCTCATTGTATATACGGTTGTTTATGATAACCGGTGCCGACACCGGTGCCGGTGCTGCGCTGCTGGTGGGTGAGGAGCGCCGGTCCCGTGAGCGAGATCGAGTGCGCGCAGATATTATGGTGCGCTCTGGTACGAGATAACTAGGTTGCGCAGCGCTCGGGTAGTAGCTGCGAGGTCTTGGCCTTGCCTCGACGTAATGGACGGGTGACGGCGAAGGAGCACGACGACGAGAGACATGAATGTCCAGCTCGTCGTCATCTGAGTAATAGCTGCTCATGACGTCTGGAGATGACCAACGAGGCAAACACACAATTTTGGGGGATAGGGTCGAATGGAGAGGGGGGCAGGGTCAGCGACGGACGATAAGTGAAGAACGGGGGCGGCGCGTGATGGCGGATAAGGTGGAAGGAAAGGGGAGTAGGATAGGGGGTTTTTGGGGGCGGGCAAGTGAGTTGGTGACTCTTTATGCTTTCCCTGGCTTAGGGCATAGGAGCCGACGAGATGCTTCGCGCAACATGCCGGTCTGCTTACATGAAGAGGTTGGGTTGGCCAATCTGTCCTAGGGCGGAGAATGAAAGACCTCAGAAGGACAAGAGGGGAGGAAAGGCCTCACAACTGCGTGCCTTGAGTACCAGAGAGGTGGCCGGGGTCGGGGCCGGGGCCGGTTAGGAGGAGGGGTTACAGTTGGAACAGCTGCAACGGTAAGCAGGCAGACACAGATATGGAGATCGATGTACCATAGTCGTACCGTCCTGCCATTCCATGGGGTTAGGTGACTGGTGAACGAGCGAGCTTTGGCAGACAGGACGAATGACTATCGGCGTGTCCTGGCCAGGGGGCTGACTATACTGGCTGGTGATTCGTCGGTTCGTCCGCAGTTGCACGCTAATTCGCCATGCCCTCCTTCGTCTCCACACAAGCTAACCGCTAGCATTCTAGACTCCTGCTGTAGGGCTGCACAGCTGCTGACGGTGTGGGCCCATCTCCCACGGGTGGCTTGAGCTTCTTGGGGGCCGGAACGCCGTGGTTCCACCGGTCGGCTTCTCGTCGGCGCCTGCTGTGACTGGTCCGACGCCGGCGGTCTAGCACTCTATGCTAGGTACTGCTGAGGATGGTGGCATGGGGACGGGACGGGAGACAAAGGGAGCGCATGTACTTGCAAAGATACCTGCCTAAGCCCGTTCGACAAAATACACACCCTTTCTGCGTCACCTCACTATGCAGGGCTAGCCCGGCTCGCGTACCCATCACTGGCATCTGCCTAGGTAGTTGAGCTTGCCTGCTGCCTGCTGCCTGGGAGTCTTGTCTGCGTCAATCTTCAGCTCCAAAAGTTCACCCTGCCGCCTCCGCCTCCCCACACTAAGGTAGCCTCACCGTAATTTTGCGACGCCCCCAGCTTTCGGGCGCTGCTCTTGAGTTGTCCTATATCTGTCCCGAAGGTGTCAGCCATCATGCATAGATAACAGTCATGAAAGGTGGTGGAGGCTACTGGAACTGTTCAACAGGCTGAATCACGTCTGTCATGCAACGCCCACCCTGGTCTTAATACCCCCAGAAGGCCAACGCTCGGCTACACATCACCAGCAAGCCAACGTCCTCAACACATGCGTCGAATGGAATTCATCTATAGGACTTGAAATGGGCTCTGAATGACACAAGTGCCCGGCTGACAGCAGGATCGGCTCGTCGTGCCACCGAGTTCGACTTGGTCTGGTCCATTTACTGCGATGATGAAGCCGGGACACCTGAGGTCGCTATGGTGTCCATCCTGATGCCTAAGTTCCCACCAAGTACAATGCAGCTAACGCAGCGTCTTGAAACTTCTGCTCAGTACCCACGTTCCTTCCTACGATGTGCACGTTGGGATTACTGAGTGTCATCCTTCACCACCAGGTCGAATGAAGTATGCATTCCTTCATTCAGGACTGTGCCTTGAGCATCTGGTCAATGTGCTGCCGGCTGTTCTTAAACGTCGTCTCCAGGTAGTGCAGCTTTTGGCCCAGCTTCTCGACTTCACCCTCCTTCTCCTTGATCTGATCCTCCAGTTTTTCCGTCAGTCGCGGAGTGGGTAGCGAGACAAACCTTTTCCGCCCCCAAGCAAGCACAGTCAGCAGAGTTCATTTCTTGCTCCTCCTCAATTTCTACGTACATCTTGCCAACACCTTCAAAAACGTTTGAGTTGGGAGGTAAAGTCGCCACCTCATCCAAGGTCAGGCGCACCATTCGCATCTCCCGCTGCTTCGCTGTCATTTGCGTGCGCGCCTGGCCAATTTGCTGCTGGGCCGCGATGGCCTGGCTCTCGATCTCACGGATCAACTGCGTGCGACGAGGGGGGGTGAGCCTGCGAGGTTCCCTATGGTTCTCAGTTTCTTCGGGGCTCTAGGCATGCCTACCTTTTCAAGTGCTTGGTTCGGAATCGACATTTTGGCTGGTGCAATCCTTGGCATGTATGAGAGTATGTCAGATGTAGTCTGGTTGTGGGGAGAGACGAAGGGTAGCCGGGTTAGTCGCGATAGCGGCCGTTCTGTCCAGTTGATGAAGAGACGAAGACCTTGCGAGTGCTGTTGGATGGTGCCAGGTGCCTGCATGTACAGAGTATCCATTAGGTAATCAAGCATGCGGCGGAGTCTTGCAGGCACATCTACCGCGACCTTTCCTGCCGCTTAAGCCGACGAGGTAATCGCCCGCAAAGCATCATCCCACAAGTTGCTCGCGATTGGAAAAACTCATCTGCATGCTCTATGGTGTGTGTCTACTAGCCCACAAATGGGGACCTATCGGTTCTTTGTACCACCACGGGTTGTCCTCGTGGCATCGTCGACTCTCGTTTGCGCAGGACGCATGCTTTGACTTATTTTTACTCGACCTTTTTGGCCTTCACCACTACAGGAATTGAGGAGATTGACCTTGGCCATACCAGCCTATACTCATCTTCTCGGCCTTCGAGGCATCTTCGTAGCCATATGCCCCACGTGATGTAGTAATAAGCTAACGCATAGTTAGCTCAGGCACTCCAATCACATACTTCTGCCCTCAAATGCCGGAGTGAAAGGCGCATACCTCCTGAAAGTAAGGTCAGTTACTGGACAGACATGCAGCGGGAGGGGAGATCTACCAAGACCTGTCATTAAATGCCACCAGGCATGACCCTCGAGCAACGCACCCCAAGGAAACCCAAGCTGGCGCCGTAACCTCCTGATATGGCTGCACAGAAAATTGTCTAGGTTCCAGATGAGAAAGCCACTGAGAAAGACGCCGAGCCCTATGCATCAAAGTTAAGCATGATTCACCAATTCAAAAGAATGGGCCAACAACAAACCGGTGGCGACCATGATCCACATGGTCTTGAGGACACTGCTGGCCTTGGTGCTGTTCCTTTTAACGAGAACCGGTCTCAATTGCGTTTCCATCACGTACAAGCTCCGAAATACTACCTGTGTAGGACTCAGCAATAGTGTCAAGCACGACGCATTGGGTCAAGTATCACCGTAGCTGTCAACGCCGCATAGCAGGTCTGGTGGAAAACAGGGTCTTTTGTGACGTGATAGTATACCTAACAGTAGCGATATTAGCCAGTGCCCGTCACTTCTCGTGGACGCTGGCTGGGTCATCGCAGTACATGACATACCGTAATAAAACCGGCAAGAAGCGTCAGACCGCAGCCTAATAACGCGGAAAATCGACCTGATCTTGAATACGAAAAGGTAGCAAAAACCATGAGGCACGTGGTGTAAATCATGGAAAGTTCGTCGATAAGCTGCATGGGATCTGAGACAGTCGTTAGTGCAGGGTTGACGATG